GGTACGCTTCACCCCACCTCCCAGTTGTTTGGGTAGTTTTTTGGGGTGAAACAGGAGCTTTCCTGAAAAACCACGAAAAAGTGATAGGGATTTGAGGAAGATTCTTGGAAGAGTAGAGAGTTTGTGCCAGATAAGAATTTTTTTTGGGAGGGTAGGGGGCTTTAATTGCACCGCCGTTTCCCCCCTCACTGCTGTAACCTGGTTGCATGACTTTTGATGGCGCGATGAGCAACATAAGAATCTCAGAACGCTTCAAATTTCCATTTTTTTTCATTTTTTTCCATTTTGTACAGTTGTATATAATGTCAAGATACATATATTATATTACTATCATTACTACTACTTAACTTGTTAATATTGTGACTATTACTATTTGGAGTATGGTGCTGTCCCGGAGTCTCATTACTTATCTGAATGTGTAATAACAATGTGAAACTCCAAAAGTTTATTCCAAAAAACTCAAAAGACAGCAAAAGTCTCAAAAGTTTTTTAAAATATCTTATCTTGCGATATTTCGGTGCGTAGCACCTTCTTCAGGCCCAAATATCCCGGCAAATCAGTCTTGTGACTATTACTATTATTATTACTTCTCATTACCAGTTGTATGCTAGTGTAATAAAATTCAAACAGCATTAGTCGCTGACCTTGTCAGTTGAGCCGATATTCGACGAAAGAGTTGGACACGTCACGGCTGTGTACAGATGCTTCCTTACCCCAATAGTATTGAAGATCCTTTCAAAATTTTAATATTGATCGTAATAGTATGGCTTCATGACCTCAGCGTATTTCAGCGTATTTCGCTATTTTCACATTGAAATCTTCCACAACTAAATCAGAGCCCCCACTACTATTGAGTATTGATTCCAGGCTAATCATAAGGGTTTGTTTTCGTTGCTGCGTACGCCCTAAACTAGTATGCTGCGCGATGTTCGGATCATTGAGTATGCCACCCTCATCGCCTCAGTCGATGGTTTTTGTTCAAGTTCCACCAAGAGCTAAACCTTTCGAATCCCTCGTATACAAAGCGGGCCCGCATCATTTCTAAACCCTAGTCGTTGTTAATTGCGTTTGCGGAAAAGTCTCCGCCACCCGTTTTTTTTTACCTTTTTGAATATTTTCTTGCACGATGATTTCTAACAGATCCATAGAGCCGCCCCCGCTTTTAGTACGTCTTCAAAATTTACTGCACTGAAAAATTACATAATTTTCCTTCGTCGTCTACATTGCTTGTGAAAATTGGACTCGTTTGAAAATTTTGTCGTGGAACTGAAACGGAACTGAAACTTCGAAAAAGACTTCGCTTTTTGTTATCTTTTGAGGTGAATTACTTACATAAATAAAAAAGGTGTCGGGTTGATCGGTCCCTTTCCGAATTGCGGCACGCATTCTACTTCTATCCAGAATCGTAGTGGTTTATTGAATGCGATGGTGCCTATACAATGGTGTATGGGGCCAGCCGATGTACAAGTCAGTGTTCTTATCCTCCCAGACGAATCTGGTACCAATTTATCCGTCCCGGGAGGATAGATGGTTGGTTAGCCTGGGCGGGAGCCGATCCGGGTTTGACCTCTCGCGCGTAAGGTGCGAGTGCCAGTTGTAAATACATCACCTACCCCTCAATACGCTTGCGTACTGCCGGCTTGGGGAGGGAGGGTGGGGGGGCACCCGATGTACAGCTTCAGGCCACCTTGCGAAGACCCGTGTGTTCTTGTAATCAAAGTGGCTCCACATAAAATTGTGCACCTTCGCACGTGTGTGCAGGTCTCGCCAAAATGGGACCTGTTGGTCAGCATGAAATGGCGAAAGGAAGTAGCGAAAGTGGTATTGCCTCTCCCAAACCGAACAGCGCCTTTTATTTAGTTTAGAACCTGTTAGTCAGATGAATCTACAGTTTGATATGTGGGCTCTGGAAATTGTATTTCGAAATTTTGCTTCATTTCGAACCTGATTCCCGAAGAAGTTAGTGAAGAAGCCTTTGAATATGAAGTTCTTGTTGACGTCGAAATAATAATAATTTCATTTAGTAATTCGATAGTAACTTTGATTTTTCCGTTTTCTTATGTATTGCGTGATACCGCCTTATTTTACTTTACTGTACTGTACTACCATTAATGAATACTACTAGTGCTAGTCCGCTTGATTGCATTTTTGTGGAACCCTGTAAGCTGTGAAGCTATATCATGATACCAGTTTCATTTGTATGAAAACGACGCGGTTGATTGCATCTGGGACATTTCCTGTTGCGCCAAGGCGATCCACGACCGGCTAGAAATGAATCGAACGGCTCATCGGGCACTGATGGTAATGCAGACCAATCGCTGGGCATAGTGAAATTCGCTTAGAGACGGCAAATTTTTTTGTTATTGGGCGCCGCAATATCCAAGAATGAGCAAGAAAACCTGGGAAAGCTAGAGTGGGAGCAACGAATGGCTTCTAGGAGAACCCCCAGCCGCAGGAATTCATTGCAAACCTTTCTATAAAGACTTTGCTCATCAGACGCTCCTTTAACTAGACCAAATCTCATTTCCCTGTTTTATTATTGCCTTACAGAGTTCAATGCGTCCAACATATTCGTTCTTGTTAGCTGGCAGCGTCGTGAAGGACAGGGTCCTTGCGTCCGGTGCCAGCATTTTCCCCACCGCATTTATTGCTGCTTGCTTTATCTACAATTGGTGGAGGACGGGGCTGGCGTCACGCTAAAACCCAGCTCGGCTGACATGTCCCAGGCATGGCTGCGAAAACAAGGACGGTATACGATATCTAAAAGGGTGGTCCAGAATTGGAGCTCGTAACGAAGTGTCACGATTGCGATCAGCCGCACAGTAGTGTCGGCTTATAAACTGAAACTGGTATCATTTTTGTAGCTTTTAGCCCAGAGACTTTACAAAATTGCCGGGTTTGTCGATAGGAGTATAGAAAGTGCCCCTTCACTCGCCCAATCTTTCCCAAGCGCTAGCTGAAGTTCAGTTCTCAGAGGACTTTTTTTCTGGAGCTTAGTTTAACAATGCGAATTAAAATGCTGCTCCTCGAACGTCCTGATAGCCGAGAGTACTAACAAGTGCTGAAACCTTTTATGTGCTAATTCGATTTACCCTTTTGCCAGCTCTGCAGGATTTTACCACCACTTCTGCTTTTTTGCCCACACTGTAGCGATTTTAAGCTGACGATCATTTATCAGTGCTGTGTCAAATGAAAAAGATTACCTTCAAAACGTTCTTGATCAATTTCCTTTTCAGGTGGTTGGTTTGAAACCGTTACCAAAGGAGCCGTCAGATTCTGGCAAGAAAAAGAAGAGCATGTCAAATCCTTTCGTAAAAAGTAAGTCGACAAAATTTTCGCAGATCCAGTTGGGCTAGGAGGAGGGGCATCTTGTACTTTCGCTGCTTCCCCTTGTCGTATTCACTGCTTTATTAGAGTTGACAGGTATTCTTTACAAAAGTTGGCAAGTAGTTTCTACAAACTTCGACTGGTATGGCTTCATGGCTTCACATTTCTTCACTTGATGACACGAAACAATAATGGGAAGCAGCGAAATGCAAAATGCCCCCGTAGCTAAGCGGCGCTTTTTCGCATTTCATTTCTTCGTATCTATTGTTTCATGAGTCATTTCATAGTCTGTATACAGTATTGACTTCATGGACGCGTAGCAGTGATTCATTTCGTTCTCCTCTTCAGAACGTTAGCGGAACTTTTCACGAGCTATACGAATAAATCTTTTGTAGAGAATCGCGAAAAGAAGGAGGTTCCGGAGAAACCGGTCATCTCTGAACCTAGCAATTTCGAACATACCGTTCATGTTGGCTACGATCCTGCTACGGGTGAATTTACGGTGAGTAATTATATTAGTTAATGATTTCTCTTTCATTTTGTCATATCAATCGATGACTATGACTGAATCTACTATATTGAATCCCGGTCTTCTTCGATAGGAGAAGACCGTCGTTGGTATCCTCATTACTGAAACAATTGATCATACGCTTACTGAGTTTCACTTTTCTGCTCTTGTGCTAAGTGCTAAGCGCTGCTCTTCATAATCGCTGAAAACTAAAAGTCTGTCTTTACGACGTCGTTTTCTCAACTTGATTTAATTTTTAATTAAATGTTGGAGACAATAAGAAGGACCCTTCGTTTATGGAACGTGCTCCTTAAACATACGTAAAACGGGTGAATAAATCCATCTCCCGGAACTGGAGAGGGCGTGGCTTCATGCTTCATTTGAACGTGGCGCGGGATACGTTTTTTCGGGAGATCCTTCTTTTTAGGAGAGCTCTTATCCTGCCTCAAGCTGAACAGCGAGGTGGCTGCGCTCAAGCGGCAGCATTCCTTCAAAAAAGAGGCCGTTGTTGTGTTCAAGTGAAATCCCGGAGATGGGGAGGGCGCAGCCATGCCCTTCCACCTGCATGTGGAGTGTAGACAACGGGGACCGTCAGTTTGGACACTGACCTTAACCCCCGTGAGACTGACCAGGGCGCTTGACGATGAACTTGACCGTCACGGTGTTGTCTGAGAAGCTTGATGGATGTTAATACGGTAGGCTATATTGAGCTGGACGATATATGGTGTCCTGAGAAGCTCGATGGCTGTATGTACGGTAGGCTATCTTGAGCTGGACTATATATGGTGGATGGCTTTACCTTCTCGAGATGCCAAGGTCCTAGAGGTTGCACCTGCTCACAAGGACCATCTGAGGGATAATCTCCTTTTCCCATGTTTGTGGTCACCCTGAGCGACGTAAGATCTGATGTTCCTTACTTTGCCCCCCCCCATCGTATACAGTGCCGTTGTCATGTGACAAGTTAAACTTCTGCTTGGTCCTGTTGCGAAACCCTGCAGCGCAGACAGGGGATAGCGGATGCTCGAGCATCGAAAGGTGCAAGGAACATGTGCCGAGCTGAGAGATGGCCTTTTACAAGGGGGGGGGGTGGGCAGAGTGGGCGAACGCTCATCTGACGTGAAAAACTGGACTGTATGAGACCATGAAGGTCATATGGAGATAGAGACTGCAGAAAAAAAGATCGACATGAGTAAGGGATTAGGTTCCAGTTGTGTGGACCAGTTTAGCCGTGTTTTTCAGCATCTCGCATTGCGAGAGATGATGCTGAAAACTAAGCTATGCCTATCCG